TGGTTGCGAACTTCATTCCGCACCACGAAATGAAATTGCCCAGCAAGTCCAAAGGACAAGTTAAACGAGCACGTTTGATAAAAGTGCTGTCTTTACTGGGAGCCCTGGCATGAGTAAACGAAGGGTGTCTTCCACGCTATTTTCACGAGGTTTTCACGGTCTTTCACGGGTTTCTCACGCACCTTTCACAGTGTTGAAATCCAGCCTCTTGACAAAGTGCTGGTTAAACAGGCACTTTGCGAAAGCGCCAGTTAAACGAGCACCTGGAAGCGCTGGGTTATGATTGACCCCAGAACGCTTGTTGGCACAGGGGAATCAAATCCGAAACCAGGGTTTTTGAGCGGCGGTGCGAAATGGATTTCGCAACCATCCACAGGATGGGGGAGAACCCGGACCAATGTTCCACAACGGCCTCAAAATCCTTGTCAACCAAGCATCTTGTAGTAGGTGTCGGGGCAGGTGTCGGTGCAGGTTGCACTGGGTGTCCGGTAGTTGTACAAACGGCACTCGGTACCTGAGTTCTCAGAACCCGAAACGACCCCTGGAAAAGGGCTTCAAAAGCTCCAGAGGTGAAGCCTTTGGCTTGAGCCCCTCTGAACAATAACGTTGGCAGCAACTCCGACCGGAGTCAAGTAGCCCAAGGGCCATTGACGTCAATATAAGCCCGTGGTAACCCCAAAATGGCTTGCCCTAAGTGGAGCGATGGACCAAAACCCGCGGTCCAATTCCTGGTGGTTTCATTTTGACCCATACCCATAGGCGAGTCCTTGGCACTCCCCTTGACTCGACCCTTGAGTCATCCGACAGCGGATCCGCGCATGTACCCCCTGCGTTCAAACAGCTTCAGGTGGCTCCCTGTATTTCCCCTTAGAACATCACCCCAAGGGACACTCACCTTTGGGCCAGAAACTGGGGATCCTTACATTATGCACCTGAACATTGCAACTTGTAAATGGAGGTGTCCGGCTTTATTTTGGTGTTGAAAAAGCCAGCCATGCTTCGAATGGTTACGCAACATGGCGATCTCTTTTTTGCGGAGCCCTGAGAAAGGCGATGGTTAAAACCACCAAAAAGGGAAAAGGGGCTCGTTTGAGTTTGGGCGGCTCGTTTGAGTGTTGAGAAGAAACAACCAGCAGTTTGGGGGGTCCCTGGAGCAACACACACACACACACACACACACACACGCTCCGCTGTTTTTGTTGGTTTTGAGAGGAAACCAAAAGGAAAACCAGCTGTTTAGGGGGTCTGTGGAGAAAAAAAACAATAAAAAATAATGAAGCAGCGATAAAGTTGATGAGTTTCACAATTCTGTTTGTTGCTCCCTGTCTACCTTGGCGGCGACCCGTTGCGTCGCATCTTGCCCTGCCACCGTACTGCACTCCTGCTCCACATCGGGCCACACCACAGTCACCCCTTTTGAACAACCATCCTCAAAGGGTACTTCGACTAATGCGAAACTGTCACCCCTCCAGTGAGAATGTGAAAAAGGGGGCCCTATGGTCGTGGATTTTCCGAGCCTCAGCAAGGGCGTGATGGTCCAAAGCTGAGCCCTCCAAAACGTCGAACATGGCTTGGAGCCGGGTTCAGAGGTCCTCCAGAGCCAGAAATTCAATTCCACATCCATCCAAATTCCCGGACCCGGCTGCAAATCGCCAACTCTTGGGGTTGCCTCAGCCATCGATGGGACGATCAAGGAGACCCAAACCTGAGCGCAACAAACAAAGGATCCAGGCCAAGCCGCACTCCTCCCAGCTATTGCAGGCGCTGCAATTCTCGAAGCAGGTTTGGCAGTGGCTGCCTTGGCCGCTCCAAAAACCAGATCAGCACCAGGGTCGCTCTCTTTGTTGTTTGTGTGCGTGTGTTTTGATCTCTTGTTTTGTGTTGTGTTTTTCTGAGGCTTCCCAGTTTGGGGGTGGTTTTCGGGGGAAACCAAAAGAAGCACCATGTGGGAGAATTCCCACATATTCTGACCACCAAAATTCCTTCTAGGAAATAGACACCACAGAAAACTGCTGACTCATTTGCAACCCAAACGTGGTGTTGATCATGAGGCACCCAAAGTGCCAGCAACTGTTGCGTGCGAGCCCTGAAGGGGCGGAAAAAAAAGGGATACCAGCCCTCCCTGCCTTAGCCGGCTGACTCCGGTTGCTGCAAGAATTATGGCCTGAATGGATGGGTCTTATTTGGGGCCCTTCGCAAAGAGCTACTCCATGTCGCAAGGTTCGTTGCCTCGGAATCCCTGTGGCGATTGAAAGCGGCACCCTTCAAACAGAACGAAAAAACGGGGGGGGGGGGAGAAGGGGGGAGGGGGGACTATCGCGTGCCATGGTCAGCCAATATGCCAGGGTCAACCAGGAGGGCCATGTAGGTTGCTCCAAGTTGCCCTGAGCAAAAGGTGGATCACCTTTTGTAGGCGTTCTTTCCAAAAGGTCTAAGGGGCTAACCTCCCAAAAGCAAACGTGAAACCTGCACAGGCACCGGGCCCCTTCCAAGGGAAAGTGGTCCAAACCAGGAACCGTTCCTCTCCAGGTTCCATGCTCATTTCTGGCAGGGCAACTCACTTGCCCAATTGCGACCTTGACTCATGGACCAAACAGGGAAACCAAAAAGGTTACATGGTCAAAAGGTTAACCAATCGCAATCAGGGACAACAGTGAGGCAAAGGGAAACCAACAGGAAAACAACAACATGGGAAAACCCAAAGTCTAAGGTTTGATCCCCCCTTCCCCTGACCCATCGTTCTCTTTTAGAAAGCAGCTATTTTCCGGGTTGGCCCCTTTTTTTCAAGACAAGGATCCCTGAAGAGAATGGGCAGGGTGCTAGAAAAAGCTCTCCATTCCGTCCGGTGGATACGCTTCCGAGGGGCCGATGCCCTGGTCCCACTCCTCACCCTTCACCTCGTAGTACCCCGCCGCGCACTCGGGCACGCACTTGAAATCCTCGGCGAGCGAAAGAAACGGCACGACTCAGCCAGATTCGGCCAGATTCGGCGAAGGTACACCCCGGGATTGCAATCTAGGGCCACTACCCAAAATAATCCAAGAGAAACAAACCTGACAAGTGTTTTTGCCTGCATATGAACTAGAATAAGGTGATTTGCCAGAGGGAAACCATAGTCCCGTGCAATAGGAAACCTCTTGGATCTGTGTTTCTCCAAGTTACCCTTGGCTCTCCATGTGGTTGCCTTTGGCTTCCCGAATGCCAAAAAGCCAAAACGGTGTCCCCATAGTCCGTTCTTTTTTTTTAAAGAGACACCCAGAAGTGCAGAAGTGCGGTGGTTGGTCCGTCATGGTACCCTGAATAGGAACCTTTGATTGGACATGGGATATCATGTTGATATAGGGTACCTTCTTTGAGGGTTGGTTTAAAGGGAAGCCAAGAATTTCTTACTACGTATCCACTAGTCCTATGAAAACTCATAGCCATGAGCGATCCGAAACCCTTCCAGGGTGTCCAGAACCCCCGCCAGAAGCAAGCAGCAACCAATGCCATTGATCCAGGCTCTCACCTCGTGGCGCCTCCCCTCGAGGGCAGGGCTCCTTTAGCCTAGTCATCTGAGCTACCTGGCCAGCCACAGAAACCGATTCGTTTTTTGCGGCGACCATGTTAGTTAAACATTTGGCTGCGGCTCAAAAAACCGGTACCAAAATGGGACTCTGGCAAGTGGAAACATGGACCAAAACCTGCGTAACCCCTGGCTCTTTAATTTTGAGCCACGCCCATTTAGCTGGAAAGCTTTATTCTTAGCGAAAGCTTCTCGTTGCTAGGAAAGTGGTCATTTGTAGCTCGGAAGCCTCAGGACCAGTGCCTTTGGGCTAGAAACCGGCACGGGTTAGAACCGCCTTTGAACAACCAGCCATACAAAAAGTCAGTCCGCCACGCCAGGGAAGCGAGCCAAACAACCAGGGAACCACAACCAAAAACACGTGAACCAACAACTGTAAATAGGCTTGGGTCGTTCAACATCACCTTCGAAGCAAGTACATTTCCAGCTTGGTCAAATAAGGGATGTTGAACATGGCGTCCAAAACTGGGCTGGTGACAGACCAATGCAAAAAGCTAATCACTGCAATTAGTTCTGTAGTTTCAGAAAAGTTAGTTTGTAGGTCGACCCAACGAAAGGCCACTCTCGGTGATTGGATGGTATTCACATAGTGTTGGGCCAGACTTAGACCCTTTGCAAAAAGTTAGCTTGTTGCTCCCGCATCGTCATGTTCGGTTACATGGCTGGACCAATTCGGACTATGCATCGGATTACCTTGTTGGTTGAAACTGAAACAGGTGGCTCCACAAACGCCTCTTGTGCTTGGGTCCTGTGACGGGTAGTACGCCGAAAGAAAAGGTACGAATCCTTCAAATGGAACGACACACCTCTCCCACTGAGGCCACGTTGCGTGGGTGAGGTAGAACTGGTTCTTGCACTCCAAGCACGTAGTGGCATTCACGCACAGGTTGCCTGAGATATGCAAGAGTGAAAAGCAGCTTGCCGAGTGGAAGAGCAGAAAGCCAAGTCCAGTCTGGCTTCAACCCTTCCAGCACCAATTGGGTTCCCGGAACTGGTGTCCCGTCTCTTTTTGATTTGAACATCTGCTTGCCGATGTTGCTTGAGTTTCCCAAAAAGATGTCCAAAGGGACCCTCTTTGACCCTGATACAAGAACCTCTCATTGCTCAAAGACAAACAAATGCGGCTCGCCTCGTTCGTTTAGGTTTCTTTGGCATTGGTCGACCTGATTAAACTTGCTTAGCCTTGTTTGGCCTCTCGTGCTCCATGGTTCAGATTGGAGCGTGCAACCCAGAATGGCTAAATTGCATATTCCAGGTTCTGACTGACTGGATCGATTCAAGACGGCAGCTTTTGCCTGCCCTTGGCTTGTAACGGGAGCAACCAGGATATATCCTTCACCAAATGCACCCCCCCCCTCTCTAGCCCCTTCTGGAGGGAAAACAGAGCCCTTTCTTGGCTGATCTCGAAGTTCGAAGGGACCCGCTCCAACCAAACCATCGAAAAAGGGCCGCTTGGGCCGCTTGGGCCGCTAGGGCTCAAGGGTCTGGATCGATGGATCCGACTTGTCCTGACACTTCTCAGCTCACATGGCTGTGGTTGTCAAAACCAATCAGATCCCATGGGCTTTTCGGTGAACTCACCACCGAAATGAAAGAGGACCTAAATTAAAGTGCTTGGATTGACTGGGATCTTCACTGGACCCTCTTCACCGAATTGGATTTTGAGACGCCCAGGGCCACATGAAATCGCCTCATTTCCCCACGGAAAATGAGCTGCAGCTCGCAGTTTCCGAGGCGCAGTTCTCGTGGCATTGGGTGCAGGTGCCGCCTAGCGAAGGCCCGTTTAGGGAGGGAGAGATGAGAGATGGCCCCTGGTCGTCCAGTTGAGTCATACACCAAACCCGGTTTAGGGTTTAGGCTTAGGGTTTAGGGTTTAGGGTTTAGGGTTTTGTGGATTGTTTTGGTGGTTGCCCTTGGTTTCTCTTGGTCTTACATGAGTCACTTGCTCAAAACCCGGTATTAAAATGGTCGCAATCCCGGAACCATGCTTCAAGAATTAAGAAGGCGGATCTCCGCAGCTATTTGTGGTTGGGATTGGCCCTTACTAACCTCCACTTACCCGGGTTTTGATTGTGACCCATTTGCTGAAATGAATGTGTTATTTTCCCCAGTTTTGGGTTTTGAGGAAAATCAATTTCTTGGCCGGAGATAGGTTTTTAACATGCTGGGTCCGAAGATCACTTTCCTGGAGGGAGCGAGTCCCGATCAGGGAAAAAAGAGGTTCAAGATCTGAATCTACTACGAACGAACTTGAACAGACGCGACACACCGTGTCTTACGGTGTTTGCTGACCATGCTACTGCTGGGGGTCAGTGGATGCCCCAACTCCCGCCCTTTTCCTGGAATGACAAACCATGACCTTCCCGGCTCTCTCGCCGCTGAAAGAAGTCACAACACATCGCCGCTGAAATGGCAGCCACACCCAAAAAAATGACTCTGAAGTTCCGGGTGTTCAGGAAGTGAGAATCAGTCAGCCCCGAGCTGAGAACTCGCCAGAGGGTTTTTCTTGCCAGAGGGTTTTTCTTTTTCGTCAAAAACGGGTTCGGATCCCGAATGGCCTTGGGCTTGCTGGTGCGATAGGGAAAGGACCTTCCGGGCTTTGGGACTAAAGCTGGGGATTTTCTTAAAGGAAACCAGAGGGGATAGTTTGTAGGGGTCATCCCCTCATGCCGAAAGGCCCGCAAGTTGGTTGGTTTCCGATGGGTTTTTTTCTTGAAGCTGCCTCGAACACCCTGGGCGCGATCGCGTCCCGGGAGAAAACCCGCGTCCACCGCGCGAAGGCGCCTACTCCATAGGAGCCGTCCGTGGGATAGTCCCCCTCTGGGCAGTCTGGCGCACACTCGTGGGTGCGGCGGAGGTACATGTCCTTAGCTCGCTCGCTGAGGTGAACCGTGCAAGCGCATGCCGCAGAACTCTTCCTGGGTAAGCAAAGAACAAACTAAACCCACATGGGCTGGAATCGGTGGTGACGGTAGGTTCACCTTTTCGCATCCTGACTTGACATGGACCAAGGAGAAACCGAAAGGCTAAAATGGGCAAAAGGCCGATTTTGAAGAAGTAAGTCCGGCTTCCGGGGAGAGTAGAAAAACTAAAGCCCCCCCAAATCCCACCATGCCTGCAAAATGAAAGAACTTACTTGAAAACGACTCGTAGGAGGCTTATATTTAAAATAACAAAAAAAACATCTTTCCCGACACTTCCGTTCTGTTCAGGGTCGTTTTTGCACTCCAGGGCAATGGAGCCGTTCACGCACCTGACGGCGCGCTGGTTGATGCGAATGCAAGCAGCTGGTTGGCCCACACGTCGCGGACTTGGGGGCGGTCTCCCTTTGTAGCTGAGTCACGTGCTCAAAACCTGGGTATATGAGCCGGTTAGTAAGGGACGATCCCCATAAGTAGCTGCAGATATCCGCTTTCTTAAATTTTTGAAGCATGGTTCTTCAATGCCTCAAATATGGGTGTGGCTCCAAATTAAACAGCTGGGTCAACCCGCAGGTCGTGTTTGTTTCCAAAGGTGAAAAAAATGTGTAGCAGTTTTGGAGCCAGCGCCATATGGGTGTGCCTTTTGTTCGGGCACCACAAGTGGCAGTTGCTTCTGGGAACCGACCAGTAAATCGATCAACTTTTGGAGGGGAAATCCAGTGACCCCTGTTTTGAGGTGGGGAAAGACAACTAAAGGAAAACCACCCAGTTTGAGGGTTCCCCTTTGAGACTCGTTGCTTTTTGTTTCTTTGTTTGTGTGTGTGTGTGTCTGTCATAAATAGCACCCAACAGGGGCCACCACCCTCAAAAATAGACACACCTAGGTTGTCCTTTGAAGCAAACCCACCCTCCCACCAACAAGCAATGGGTTTGGTGCACAGCCATTTCCAAAGGGGAAGTGGCCTTCAACAAGAGCTCTGTCCGTGTCTGTTTCCGGGATTTTAAGCATCACTTCTTGGTCCAAGTTGACTAGGTCCTCCATTAGAGAGGTTCGAATAAGGGTACCCTTTTTCTGTAGTCTATTTTAGTAGGGGAACCGAATCTCCCAAAAAAGGTTGGCGAGAAAGGGCACTGGAGGACCTGGTTGAAGTAAGTCTTCCCCTTGAGACAAAAAAATATATAAGGGGGGCCCTGTGGACCGGGAGAAGGAGAGAAGGGGGCTTTACCCTTCCTCGAATCAAAGCTGACTGGGCGTTGGACGACCGCGTTCTTGTTGGGGGAAGCCCTTTGGCCACTTTCCATGGATAGAAAGAGGGTATTCGTTGAATGTTCACATGAAATACTCTGCATTGGCTTTTCATTGACTCACTTCCTGAGTTCCGTTTCGCGCGTTAGATGCACTTGTGTTGGCGTTTGGTCGCCAAGCTCGTGGCAAAGGCACAACAAGTTTGCGGACATCTGGTCAAACCGCTCAAGAGCTCGCATCGAAGTGCGAGGCTTTGAGTGTCCTCCTGGGCGCTTTCAGAAGGGTCCGGTCCGTTCAAAATGCTTTTCCTTTGGGCTTCCCTTTGAAGCCAACAAAAAACGGGTACCCTTCAAACACCAAAGAAACCCATAACTAGGTCCTCCAGTAGAGAAGTTAGAATAAGGGTAGCCTTTTTCTGTAGTCTATTTTAGTAGGGGAACCCTCCCAACCAAAAAAAGTTGGTGAGAAATGGCACCGATTGCTGGGGGACCTAGTTTTGCTTCCATTTACCAGGCTTTGAACTTCCCCCTTTCTATCCATATCAAGAAAATGAAAAACACGCTTACAAAAAGAAACAAGAACATAAAATGGGGAAGTTCAAAAAATGGTTACCCCATGGTTCCCAGCCCTTATAAGGGTCGCTTCCCCCATAAGCATCAGGTTGCTTGGCATCAGAGTACCCGGAAGCCCCACGAGCGCCTGGAGGCATGGCCCGGGCACTTCACGCACATCCCGCCCACGCCCTCCTGGCGCGCGAGCGAGCGAGCGGCCAAGCGGCCGGTTTTGGGTGGAAGGGTTTGCCGTGCCCGGTGCTTCCAGGTGTCTGGTGGCTTGCAAGAACCTTGCTTGGAGGAAAAAGTGTTGTAAAAACCTGACTTTGGGACATGTGCAGCCTTTCAGGAACCTTGTCTGGAGGAAAGAAGGAAAAAAAGCGGCACGAAAACCGGGTTTTTCAGGTAGAGTGCCTTCAGTTGCCTCTGTAGTAGGTAACCAGGTATGTTTACCTCACATCTGTGTTTGCATGAATTCCCCTGGTTGCCTATCGCGGGAGCTGGAAGCGCAGGAATAGGTGTTCTTATGGGGAAATAGATGGCCCTGGTAGATGAAACAACCAGGTCAACCAAGAATCGCCATGGATTTTCTACCAAAACCAAAAAGGGCTCCTATGACGGTTGCTGCTCTAACACACCAACATGGAAGTGCCGCAATTGAACGATTTCTCGGTAAGCGAGCAACCGTGCACAAACTATGTTTGTCGGAGCTAAAATTGGGTCGATTCAGATGACATCCTCGGTGGTTTCAAAGTGGGTTACCACTCCCAAAACCAGTTGTGATCAGGTAACCCCCAATTGGTGGTTTGGGTTTTTTTGAGGATTTGAACCCCTGCCTGTAGAGAGTAAATAAAGAAGCCTCCCTAACCTCCAAAAAACGAACCCAAACCAACCATCGGAAAGCGGCCGAAAAGCTGAACGGGGATTGTCCCACCGTTTTGGAGGGTGCTCATAGCCATGGCTCCAAACAAAAAAGTTGCCTTTTGAAGTTGGAAGTTGGAGTTTTTTGATGGCAACTTGGACGCGCTTTGCGGCGAGCTAAAAAGAGAAAATCCGCCAAACCCAGAGGGTCCCTTGCCTAAGGAGGCACTCAGACCCCTTTTTACCCAAAAGCCATCCTCGCGAGGTACCAAGGGACCCTCTGGGAAGGGAAGCAAAGTCTGGCAATGTCGATATGGCAATAAACCTCTGCCTATACCTCAATTGCCGCATGAGCCGTTGAGTTGACAAGGGACACCATATGTTTTGGGGTTGATTCTAATTTGAACGGGGAACCCACCAAAGCTGGAAGAGGTTAGTTTGAGCTAGAATATCTCCAATTGTCCATTTCAATAAGGATCGTTTCGCGGTAGCTTGTTTACAACACATTTGGCCAGATGACTACAACCCCTTAAACGGACCTAACTGGGGTGAGCTTGTTACAATCTGTGCTGGACAAATGGATTCGCCTCGAAGTGGCGGAACCTGCACGAAGGGAAATCCCACAAAGCAAAGCTTCGGCCGAAGAAAGGTGACTCTCACGGTTCCGTGCGTACTCCACAGTTCTCCTGCAGCGGAAAGCAGGTGGTCTGCACATTCTCGAGCACTGTTGCCTCGATGTTGGCCCAACATGACTCCCGTGACCCGCGAAAACCCGAGACCAAAGTTTGGTCGCTCCCAAAGAAAACACCGACACAGAGACGTCTAAAAGTGTTGTTGAAGAGCTCTGCATAAGCGTCTTGTGGTTCTTGGGAGAGACACGCTCCACAATTTTTGTTCATGAGAGTAGACCGGTGGCAAAACGCTGAGATCAGCCCGCGACCCCCACCTCCTGACCGCTTGACCCCACATGACCCACACAAGACCTTGTTGTTTCCCACTAAAATGTTCAAAACCAAAGAAGTAACTATCTGGGTGTCTTTTTAAACGGACCCCCAAAATGGAGATTCTCCTCTTGCGGACCCTTTAACACCTACCGTGGTTTGGAGCCGAATCGATGGTTGGGTGGTTGAGGAGGGGCTTCCCATGTACCTTCTACAAGAACCAGGGGTTCCAATCCCAAACCACCAACCCAAACCCCTGTGTGGAGGGTGGCTGAATGTAGGTGCCTGGATCCGAACAAACTACCCTCCCCCCCCCCCCTTTGAGGTGGAATTTTGAGGTCCAAGTGGTTGCTTGTGAAGCTGAAAGGTTGGTCTAAACCGGGTTGGCCTAAAAGGGAAAACCAAAGGAACAACCATTAAGAGCGCCTCGATTTTGACACATGTATGTCTTTTTAAAGGTTGGACTCGCGAAATGGACTTTGGCCAAACTCAACCGAAAGGGGGGTTCCCGCAAAAAGACCCCCCCACCTGCCATGCGAATCCTCGTGCCAAGGCACAGGGTCGTTCGGGCCCATCTCTGCAAACCTCAAAAGGAGGTTGGGCGGATCCGTATTTCGAACGACGGCGGATGGCTGGCCACAATTTTCATGAAGTCTTTGGGGTTGAAAGGGAGGCCAAGAGGAAAGCAGCGATTTGGGCCGTACCCCGAGTTGGGGACCATTTCTGGGGTATATCCTTTTGACCAAACGGGGGAAGTGAGAAAGGAAAAGGGACGTATAGCTGGCTGCTCAAAAAATAGAATCCCCAAGATGGCACCTTGGTGTATGGGCATGGTTTGTTTCTCCCAGGGTATCCTTCATGGCTTTACAGGGCACCGGATATCCAGAATTTTGCGGGTCCCCTAAAGAAGGATGCACGCATATGGAAACAAAGACGAAGCCCAGCGGATTCGCCCTAGCTGCAGATGGAACCCGCCACGTTCACCTGGGGGTTGCCCACAGACCCTTCCTACCTGGTGACACATGGGGTGAGGGGTGGATTCCCCTTTTGCCATGGTCGCATGTTGATTTTTTTGTTTTCCGCCACATTACGGTTTGTCTTGTAAGTGCAAACCCCACCCCACGCCTCATTTTTTTGAGACCAAGAACTGTCCAAACTGATCCCCGGCTAGAAGCTTAACTTGTGGGAACGGAAAAACCCACTAAACCAACGAACAACTAAAAGCCTACGGTACCGGATGGCTGGGAACCACCAAGTTATTTATTCACCCCCCCCCCCCGCCCCCAGTGTGAAAAAAACGACTTTGTGTCGCCCCCTCGAAAAGGAGCTTGCAGAGGGATCCAAAACACAGAAAGGCTCCTTCGACCAACTCCAGCTCCTTCTTTTCTGACACGGGAAGGACAAGAGCATCAACCTGAAAAAACCCACCGTGCAATCCTAAATCCATCCGAAACGGGGGCCCTCCCTTCAATTGATTCTTCACTTTCTGGAGTTGCCTGCCATCACAGCAGCGGGACACTTCTTGGCTGTACAACCCTCCGCCAAGCCATGTGCTCCAAGCTACTGGGCTGTCCAAGCGCATCCCCTGCCAAAAATGTGACGAGCTTGTGATCTAAACACCTAAGGAACCAGATAGCGGGGAACCACCTTTTAGTGGGTGAAAAACTCGGAAACCGAAAACCACCAAGCCAACTAAAAGGATCTGAACACCTCAAATGGCCCGGAACCCAGAAAACCTCCGCCTGCTTACCAGCAGTGAAATCGATTCCCTTTTAACCGAACAGGGGAAGCTAAACAAACGTTCATTTCAGCAAACGGACAAACCATATCCTGGGTTGCCTTCTGCTTAGCTTTTAGTGGTTTAATAAAGAAGGCAAACAGTTTTTCCGTCCAAACATCCCTTGGCAAAATGCACCAAAGTCTCCACTTGGCCAATCCCATTTTGAGGCCGGGCGGCCAGATCAGCGCGTACCAGCCCTGCAGGGAGGTGCTGGACCCTAAGTCGTAGCTGTGGATGATGGCACTGTTCTTGATGATGAGCAGCTCTTTGCCTCCGAATTCCTTCCGTAACTTGGGGGGGGTCTTCAACTAAAACAGGGGGGGGGTGGGGGGGAAACCAAAATGAGGGGGAGGTGTCTTCAACTAAAATGACTAGGTCCTCCTGATTTGAGAGGTTAGAATAAGGGTACCCGATTTTCTTCGGTAGTCTATTTCAGTGGGGGAACCCTCCCCCAAAAAAGTGTAAAAAGGCACCACTGGGGGACCTAGCTGAGGCGGTGCGGGGGAACCAAAATGAGGGGGGAGTTCAACCAAAAGCGGGGGGGGGGGGGAGGGTTCAGCCAAAATTGGGAGGTCATTTTCTACTGAGCACCAGCAAGTTACAGACACAAACAAAACCTGCAAGCAATCCTATTGGGACTAGACATCTTCATCAAATCATGCCTTGCAGACCTGCGGCTTGCTTTGTGACGCCTGATTGAACCGGGACGTGCGTCTCTCTTTTGCGACATGGACGGACGGGGGCCGTCTTCCAGAGCGTGGTCTTCCAACATCCTGTCCACTTCCAGAGAGGGTGACTTGAATGAGCGCACAGGCCATTTGGTCCACTAGGCCTGCAGTGGCCATCTTTCTCAGGGTAGCTTCCCGGGATCCTTCTTTCTAGAAAACCACCAAACACCCTGGGAAAATAGCTGTGTTTTTTGTTTCGGGGCGAAAGGGGGGCAGATCTTCAAAAAAAGACACATCCCTCAAGAATCGTTCCATGCGGGCCTTCCAGTTTGGATCAAATTCATAGAAAGTCCAGCCACGACTGTATCCACTGCTTGAGACTGCATTAATGTTGACCCCGGATTAATAAACCCTGTTTTCTTCATATGGGGGTGTCCCGGGTTTTAGTGGGGCTTCCTCACTTTTGAAGGGGAACACCCCCATGATTAACAAACAGCGGTTTATTAGTCCGGGTCAACTGTCCGCGCAAGGGCGGCCACCCAGAAGACTCGTTCCGCGTCTCTGGCACGCGGGCTGGCGCTATCCTCCATATCCTTCCGCTCAACCTCCAAGTGACACTTCTGGTCAACTGGCGTGGCCAGCGCATGATTGCTCATCTCTTGGTTGCTGTTGACCCCTCTGCAAACAGTTTAACATGTTGTGGCTGTAGTGGAAAATCCCTTGATTTCCCAAAAGTTCAAGTCTAAAGATCCAACCCAATAGCAGCCAAGATCTTCGTTGACATTGACAACAGCCACCAGTCCCCAAGAAGAGCCTTGCCATGTTTGTGGTGCATGTGCGATGTCGCAGATGTTGGCCTGCAATCATTGTCTTCAGCACCAAAAAACGCCGAAGAACTTAGCGAAAGGCCGTTGGACCCGGTGAATGCAAGATTTGCGGTGCCCGCCTTGTCAAGGGAAATGGCCGCCAACCTACAATTTCAAGTATGTTTGATTTAACATAATGTCGGTTCCCACATCAAGGGAGCGGTTCAATTCTTGAACACATCTTGCTCAACCTCAAAGCAAACAGTTAATTCTGGTAATCTTGAAGCCATGGCAACAAACCACCACTTTTTGTTGCCCCACTTGCTCAGCAACCCGTTCAGTAGAAAAAGAAAAGAAACAAAAACGTCGCCTTGCTGATGTCCTGCCAAACCTGGCCGTTTTAGGCGTCCCCGCCTTTCAGCTCGAGCCGGAAGTAGTCCTCCGTAGTGTAGGTCATGCCCTCCCGGTCGGATCCATCCTCAATCCGGCGAAAGACGTTGAGCACAGTGGGAAATGGAAACCACAAAGCCATGATACAACAGCAAGGGCTTCCCAAAGTCGAACCCCATAAAAAGGGTGTGGCTCAGAATTGAACAGCTGGGGCAAACCGCAGGTAGTCTTTGTTCCATATACCGAGGTGCATTTTGCGGAGATTGCCTTGTATCACAGAAGTGGGAATACACCTCGAGTGATCCCACAACCCTGAGCACCGTCAAAAATATGTGTTTCTTGAATTGCGAGGGCCCCATTAATAGAATGCTTAGTTTTCTTTTTGGTCCCCCTTTGAATACCAAACAAAAGGGGTCCAACATTGTGAGAAACTCCCAGATGTTTATTGCTCATGGAAACAAGGGATCCCCCTTAGTTAAGGCCTTGCTCCCTCAACAAAGGCTGTCTGACGAACAACCCCATGCTGAAACCGTTACAAGAGGATGTCCCCGGGGGTTGGGTTAACATGACTTGTCACGCAGCCTGGAACAGACCCCATCAGGCCTTACGCCCTGTTCGCCGCTAGGCGCGATTCACCTTTGTGGAGGGGGGGGGGGGTCACTGGTCCTCAAACGAAATGCTCTTGTCCCAAGAGCCACAGCCGCTTTTCAAGCCGCTCATTCAGCAACCATGTTGCTGGCCAAAACCAATTTCACCTTCCGTTCGAACCTCAGCCCTGCTGTCTTTGCCGACCTCCCAAAGCCAAGGCTGAAAGGCAAAGTCACGTTTTCTCGGTTCGACAGAGGGCGCGTTGCCCAACGGGGTCCCAGCGAAGAAGCTCGGTGTCTCAGTTTCTGATTTGGACAGAGGACCTGTTGCTCAGATTCGTCCGAAACTCAGTGGCTCGGTTTCTTAGACAAAGGGGGGGCCCTGTGCCCAAAAAAGGCAGAAAGTCCGGTAAAAAAAAGACATCGAGACACTGTAGGTGTGTATTCAGAAGCAGAAACATAGGCTGCCATGGGATGAAGCTGCATTGACCACGGTTTGGCCCTTGAGGCGTGCAGGGAACACAGGAACCAGACGCACTATAACATGCTCATGTCAGAATCTGTTGAAAACTTCCTTGTCACCAGTTCCGTGTGTCCCATTTGTTTGAACCAAACACCATAAAACAATACTTGCCCAAGAATGCGAGGGACCGGCCTTTTTTCTTCCAGATTCGTATCCCAGCGGTTGCAATCGGTTCCAAGGGACGATCTCAATGGAGCCCTTTGCGGTGAAGTGCAAGAACCTCGAGCGGATGTGTTTCTTTTCGTGCGAGTCAGGGGACAAAACGACCTGCGGATTGGGGTGAAACGGAGGTCAACAAAAAAAAGACTCGGGGTTGGACAAACGAAGTCTGCGAGCATCAGGGCTTTCTTCGGGTTTTGATGGCCCTCTGTAAGGCAGTCTGCGAGTTTTAACCCTTAAAGTAGATGCTTCTGGGTGGCAAATGTTGTTTTGTTTCACCAGGCTCTGGCTTAGGAAAACCTAGCAGGATATTTGCTCGACAATGCCAAACAAGCAAGCAAACAAACAAGCAAGCAAACAAATAAAGAAAGAAAGAACCAACAAGCAGACAAACGCACAAACAATGACAAGGAGCATGTCTAAACCTGAAATGGGAACCGGGAATAGACAAACCCAGTCGGATTCAATCGGGAGGGTCCCATTAAGTAGTTGCAATCCTTGACTCTCGGGAGTTGCGCCCAGGTTCATTGATCGCCCGGGGTCCCGGCCCGCCAAAAGATGCGAACACATGTTGGAACATCGTTCCCCAAAACAATCCTGGAAGGGGATTCCTAATATGGCTGAAGGAAAAGGGATCCTGGTACCCCGACACATGGTTGATGTCGTAGCATGAAGGCACCCCCAACATGGAAAATTATTCTTTTTGTGCTCCATGCTGAACACATTTTGCAAAGAGCCAGCCGCAAAAATGGGCGAGGCGCGTGGCTTCAGAGCCCCAGGGTTCAGAATCCATCTGTCTGGGCCCATTTTAGTAAGACATTCGCAAATTTCACAACAAGCGGCTACACACTTTTTGGAAGCAACACCCCTCCAAATAAAAGTGTCCACTGGGTTGATTTATCCCTGGATGACATCAGTTGGATATTTGGCTGAGGCTCCGCTCCGGTATCTCTCCTTAACATCTCCCCTGCAAACTCAGCCAAGCTGTGTAGCCTGAGAATGTCATAATCATGTAACCTCCAAACACTTACCCTCCATCCCACTAACATGGCAACTGACACACGCTACCCCCAAACAGGAAGATCATCTTCCAGGTACCCTCCCACAGGTGGAGGGTAGGTACCAAGGGAAATGAACAGTTCAATGCGCGGTGGAACAAATTGCTTTTAATTTTCAATCTGCACACAGCGACAAATAGTTGAATTCGGTTTGGTTTCCCGGTAAAGGATACCCACAATCCCCGCTCCACATTCACCAAAAGTCGTGTCTCAAAGAAAAGTGAAACCCAAACCCAGGGAACAGCACCAAAGCACCCGTTAGACCAGGGGGAACCAATGCGAAAGGAGTCCAAATAGAAAGAAGGTTCCGAGAAAATTCCACAGAAACATGGGAACCTACTTGAGGCCCCCGGAAAACTCATCTTACAAAGACCCACTGTCAGGTTCCATTGATGTGGGGAGTTGGGAGGCCCAACGACGTCGAACCTCGCGCACGTCATGGTAAAACTCCTATGTGGGTCAGTGGGTCATGCTGGAATGCTTGCACTGCGTGTCTATACTCGATCCCCAAAGGATCCATGACCTGCAGGAATTCCAGGACGCCGTCTTCGACCATACTCTCTTCTCCCTCGCTGATTGGCTAGAACAAGCCCAAAGAAATTCCACTAAAACTCGCTTGCTTTCTGCTCCCCTGCTAAAATGTTTCACCTTTAGTGGTTCAATGGAAAACCCATTCGTTGGCAAAAACTTAAAGTCCTAACGTGCGCCAAAGTTCTGACGTGGCAGCACAGGGTGTGGGTTTTCTTTCAACAAATGGGCACGCCGCTGGTAAAACATCAGCCGCTTCGCCCCCGGTGGCCACGGGAGCGCGCGCGCTTTGGCAACCCGCGGGTAACGACGTCTGCGGTAACGTTGACCCCGGTTTGGCAGAACCTGCCCGAGGGGCCCTGGTATTCCGGGTCTGAACCCCCACAAAACGGGGACACCCCACCCTTTTCAGAAATTCAACCAGGAAATTGTCTCACTTCTTGAGTGGACTCGGCAGAAAAAACAAAAATCCGAACATGTCGCACCAGAATGGCAACCAAACCCAAGCGACTCAAGTCCGAAACGGAACTCGATTCGGAGTGAGGTTCAACTCAGATCCAGTCGTCCCCCAAAGCAAACCACAAAGTCACCAAGTGATGGGCTACAAGCAACCACCCCCCCTGACTTTGATACCAAGAACAGTCAAACCAACTGACCCCAAGTTCATTGATCTACTACACTCCCCATAAGACAGGGATCCCCAAGCCACCGGGCTAAGACGACACATCCAGCGAAAAACCAGGGGCAAACCGAAGCATCCAACGAAAAACCTAAACACCATGTAAAAGTCAAATAATAATCAAAACAATAATAATAACCGTAATAGTAATAATAATAATAAGAATAAGAATAATAATAATAATAATGACAGTAATACTAGTAATGATGATAATTACTAAATAATAATAGTCGCAATAGTAATAATAATAATAATAATAACAAAAAATAAAAGTAATAAGAATAATAATAATAAGAAGAAGAACAATAATAAATAATAATAATAACACTAATAATATTATGACAATAATAATAATAATAATAACACAATGAGCCATAAAACGAAGCCAAGGAACCCTGAAAAAGCCGAGCCATGAACAAACCTGCAGACGGCAGATCCCCAGGTCTCTCTTTTGCGGCCGAGCGGCTTTCCGTCCTGGAAGTCTCGCTCGTCCGTGGGGTCCGTGGTGAGCCCCACCCACACCGGGCGGTCGTCCTGGTGTCAGATCGAAAGCTCCATAGGGGCCTCCAGTGACTCCCGTGACCCGCAAAAACACGAGACCAAACAGTCGCCCCAAAAACAACACTGACACAGTTGGCTGGGGGACCTAGTCCATTCTAGGGCCCGTTTTCGCAAGTTCTAGGAGTTCTGGGACGTTCTGCATGTGGCCTAAGGGGAACACCCCACCGTTCCATGGATTCCAACCATTCTTCTTTCTCAACCATGCTTCTTTCAAAAACCCACCCGTTTCTTGATGCTTTTTGGAAAGAAAGATCCCGGGAAAGAATGGGGAAGGTACTCCCAGAACCATGGGAAGAGACCCCCCCAACCCAAAAAAAAACACATGGGAAAAGACAACGACCGGTCAAACAGGTTCCATGTGGGTCTGCGTTGAGGTGAGGGACCTCTCAAAATGACGAGTGGGGTATACCCCCTGAAAACAGCTTGTCAAAAAGCCGGGGCGGCCCGCTTCTTGCGTGGATTAGGCAACTTTGTGGGGTGACTAACACCCCCCCCCCCCCCGCCCCGACAAAAAGAAGAAAACAAAGAAGAGTGATTTCCTTTGGCTCTCCCTTTACACCAACCCCCCAAAACAGGCGGCTTGGCCTTGACACCCAAATTAAAACGAACAAACGCGCCGCGCGCCTAAAACCCCGGCGCTTCGACACCGAGAACGAGTTCTTCAACTCGCCTGGCCGGGCTTGAAGGCGATGCTCGACACAGGCCCGGCGGCCGCCATGGCGTTGCCGCCCTGAGCGACGAGCGGATTTGAGCGGCCGGCGAGTGGCTTCGGTGGGGGTGGGGTGGGGGGGGGAAGCTCTCATGGGGTTGGGGGAGGGAAGTGGGTGGGGTGGGGGAGGAAGTTGGGGGGGGTGGGGTGTGTTTGTTTTCTGGACCCATTGCTCTCCATGCAACACGTAGCCATTTTGGCTCAAGGCCTTTCATGTCACACCTCAGATGTACATAGCTCACTGAGCCATTGCATCCGTGATACAAAGGCGCTGGCGGACCACTTTCAGGATAAACCACAACACACAGTTTACCAGGGCTGATCCAGTATCAATCCATCAGTATTGACACTTGGAACTCTCCGGAATAGATCCAGGGCCACCACATAAAGATGCTCTACAACCACAAGGTATCGGTTCCCTTTGGGTATCTTATCCCGCTGGCAGTGGGCCTCATGGGCTGGGTGGGGTGGGGTGGGGTGGGGGGCCCGACCGGCGCGCCTGGACCCAAGGCAAAAGCCCAAGGGGAAGTTTGACGGGCGGCGAAAGGGAAAGGTGTTGCCGCCACATGACAACAGACCAAACAATGACAATAAAGGTTAATTGGTCTATTCACCTGAGCAATCCTTCTTTCCAGAAACCAACCGAAGACTAGAAACGCCAATTCGTGAACAGAAGGCGGGTTTAAACAGAATTGGGAATCAACCCCTCGAGCTAAATCCTCTCGTTTCCAAAAACCCGTAGCAGTACCCGTGGTTCATACCCCTTTGTTGCCAAGCCGCGTAATCATGGGTATGCGATTCCCGCAAACAAATTCTCCCACAGAAGAGTTAAGAACTTTGAGGGGATTTGTTGGTATTAGAAGGTTAAGTTCAACCTTCACCCGAACCGACTTTTGCTTTTGGTAATCTAAATCTCGGACTCAGAATATCCTCTGGATCAGTGGGGGGGGGGGGGGGTGAAGGGCTCCCGCCCATTAAGAGCCTTCGCGATTTAGACAAGCTGGTTGGCACATCGAGCAGTTTGGTCAGCCACCATGCCACCACTCACCTCGTGACACAGCTACCTGGCTCCAAGTGGCACTAAAACCACTCAAAACGAATGGTTCAAATCGGGCTCGTGCCAATTGCGTCGTTTTCAGCACCTCCGAAGTGCATTCATCAGGATAACCCATAAAAAAAAGACGCCCACGGCGCCTCCTGCAAGCCTGAAGAGATGAGCTTGGGATGCTACTCTGCTAGTGCTGGAATGCAGTGGAAACCCAAGACAAGCAGTTTCATGGGGGCTGGGGGGCGAAGCGAGAAACCGGGCTGAATGCAGGCTGACTGCGATAGGGTGTTGGGAATGAATCTCCGAGTCCGCGTGTTGCTTGAATGAACCGGTTTTGGGGATTCCCGAATCCCAGGAAACCAGAGGGGATGGGTTGTAGGGGTCGTTCAATGTCTCATTCCCTGCTGAGAGCCAGCAAATGAAGGTGTCAATCGTAGGAGGAACTTCCAGTTGCCGGAGACTTTTGAGTGATGCGCGCCTCCGTGTTGGCAGAGGTAAAGGTAGAGCCTGGCGAAAAGCTCCGATCGAGAGGATTGGCCCAACAAACGCCGCCGGACTCTTTCCAAGAGATGACGAAAGCCCAGAAACTCAGGAAGTGAGTTGAATTCATGGTCCAGGAAGTCATGGAGTGAGGCCCCCGTGCTGCCCTGTGAGGATGGACGAGGGGTTGCCCCCTCCCAATCCATGAATCAGAGCCTGCAGATGCGACTAGCATTCCACTGCCCTGATTTAGGAAGCGAACACAAAGCCAAAACATACCATGCGACAAGTATGTGACATCCTAGTTGAACAACAAGTTGCTCTTGGTGTTGAGCTTTTGAAGCACTTCCAGAAGGGTGCCGGCAACAAAGCCATAGGGCATTAAACATAAGTACAGTACAAACATTCGATGGCCTCATCGACCCCCGACCAAAGCCGCCGGAGTCGCCTGTTTGCTCCACGTTGGTCAACTGCCAGGTCTCAACGCAGGTCTCACTCTCCGAGACCTGCGGGAGAATCAACCACCGAGTTCCCCCGTGAAGTTCGGCCTCGAATTTTGGTGATTTGGCCATGGGTCAAAACCCAAATCGTACCCCCAGTGAACATCCCAATCCCCACTATAGACTAAAATGGGTGGTGAATTCACCTACCCCAAAATGGCACCATTGGTTTTGACCCACAGCCATTTGGGTGTGGCTCACAATTGAAGAGCTAGGGCAAACCGCAGGTTTTGGTGAACTTGGTTCAATTCCTCCCAAGGTGCCATTTTGGGTACCATGTGTTGAACCACTGCCAATTGGATTGTTTGCCATTTACCCTCAACAAGAAGCGGGGTGTCAAATCCCCAAACCACCAATCGCCAATTAAGGATCCCCTGGCGGTTACCTGGAATGGTTGCAAGAAATGCCCTTGCTGTCACAGAAAAACTAGCGACCATATTTGCCAACTATGTTCACCACAACCATAGGATTGTCCTATGTCATTTATAGTAAGATAAGGCATCACACAATGGGTACACTTCGCGCACAAAGCGGGAGAAAAAAATCAACCAGGAAATGAGTGGGCCATTGGGGCAAGCGTTGCTCGCTAACTGCATTTATCTTGCATCTTATGGGGGCTCTCGGATATGCATGGCAAACCTTCAGCTCTATACCATGGGTGTGGCTCAAAATTAAACGATCGGAGGGGCAAACCGCAGGGTTGTGTAACCCATGTTTCCACTTACCGATCGGGCAAGCCATTTTGGAATTCCGGCTTTTTGAGCCACAGCCAATTGATTTCGCTACTCCGTAAACTAGGATAACACACAAGGTTCCCGTTTCTCTCAAGGTCATTCACTGCGAGGGGCACCCTTGCCTCACAAGATCATCCAGGGTTCGCACCCTGCACTGAACAGGGCTACCTACATTAGGTGACATTTTTTGGAGCAGATCACGTGTTGTTTTTGTTTCTTTTCCGGGTGCTTGGGGCATAAAACCAGTCTGAACCAGTGGAACCCATCTATTTCTAACCAAACTCACCTAAAAAGGACACCTACGGCTACCATGTTTTTCCAAAGGAGCCTGGTACCTTCCCTCATGCTTGGAAGTGGGCAGGCTCCATTTACCAAAGCACGGTCCAAGAGCGGCCGGCGCATTTCCACTTGTGTGTCGTGCTGTATGGGATGCCCCAAATTGGTGAAATTGGCTCCCTTGGTTTCCCTTTAACCACAAAAAAGAAGGGTACCCTCAAGAAAGACACACCCATTTGGTGCGTTTGGATGGGTAGTCACAGACCGCAGGAACTCAAGCGGAGCTTGGGGGGAAACCTAGCGATCCCTGTAAAGGAGACTGCTTAGATGGTGAGCTCCGGGACCTCGAGAATTCAGCCACCTGACACGAAGCCCAGTGGGCATGGAGAAAAAATCCAACCGCTAATTGTTCTAGGGCTTGATTCCAACCTCTCTTTTCAGCCATCGCTCTTTTCAAAAACCAGCCATTTCCCCAGGCTGTTGGGTGGTTTTCTAGAAAGAAGGATCCCTGGAAAGAATGGGGAAGTTACCTCTAGAAGTGTTGGTTGATGTTCAAGTATTGCAAGTGTCAGTGGTGGCTCGGATTGGTTTTGAGCTGGGCGGTTCAAATCCCCAAACCATCCAAACCACCAACGAAGGGCTATCTGAAAATTGCTTATTCTTTCTACGCAGACCCCAAGTGGCCATGGGAAAAAAGGCACTTTGGTCCGTAGTTGAAGTTAAAGTAAAAGGGACAACAAGAGTTTTCTGGTATAGTTGGGATAAAAATTTTGCCTTTCGGGGCCATGACTGAAAATTGACCAAAAAAGGGCCACCAAAAGGTTAAAGAGTCACCCCACCCGGAAAAAAAAAAACTGAAAAACAACTATTTTGGGGGGTCCAACCCTAAAAAAAGCCGAAGCCATGTTGGGGGTGCAACCAAAAAAACATGCGTCACCACCTGAAAAAAGACGCGTGACCTGGGTGGCCAATTCTGACTCCGACTGCCTTGTAGGCCACTAGCTCATGGAAGTTCAGCACGCGCTCGCCTCGCGGGCGGGCGGGTCCCTCCACGAAAAGGTCGCCAAACCGAATCCCTTCTGTGAAACCAGAAGCGCGACGTGACGTGATACATATGAATTGTCAATGTAGGTGATTGAAACACTGTATATACATCATGGGTATGTACAAAAACTACAGATTAGGCGTATGAAAAAAACAAATGTATATATATATATATACAGTAGTCATGCGCGCATGGATGGTCGAAACTTTGCCCAAGAAAGTGCATTCTCAGCAATTCTGAGGGAGTTCTCCGAGCGTGTGTTTTCAGTACGTGAGCTCGCCTATGCGCAGGCGCACTTCGCGGAAGCATCTTACTTTCCCACAGGTCTAGGGCCTTCCTGGGAGCGAGGACTTGCCATGCGCAACATCATTCTGCTATACAAAGCCTAGGTCCAGTAGAGAGGTTAGAATAAGTTGGTACCAACTTTTTTCTGTAGTCTATTTTAGAAGGGGAACCCTCCCCCAGAAAAGGGGAGAGAAAGGGCACCTAGCTGGGGGGCCTAGAAGCTTTCCCAAACAGATCATCCTCCCAAAGATGGCACCAACGGGAAGCTAGCTGGCCCTCTGGCTCGTGCTTGGGCTCCGCATGCCTACAGGTATCATCCCATGCTGGGCAAAGGGGGCATCAGGGCGTCACGTAGTTACACAGCCCATTCTCTCCACGGCAGTTTCGGGGACGCTCTTAGCGGTTCCGGGGCTTCAGCGGGCAATTGCCTCATGAACCCCTTACGACCCATAGTTCAGTGCTGGGCTTAGGCTGATCACATGCATCCTTAACCAACCCACACCTACATTGACTTTGCAAGTTCAATCATTTAGGCTGAACCAAGCCGCCACCAAACAAAGATACCCACACAGTTGCAAAGTTGAACATGGTCCGAGTACGTCACCACAAGTCCTCCAGCTTCCCAGTGACCCTGGATGGAAAACGGGACCGATTCTTTTTGGGTTTGACCAGTTTCAGTGGTTTCGGAGCCCACAACCAAAGCGGAACTTCAGGGGTGTGGGTCTACCGCCTGGTCCGTGTCTGTCTCAACTTTCGCCCCCAAAGACCCTGCTTCTGATCCTGGCGCATTTCCAGTGAACCTGAAAATGCAAAACAAATACCACAAACATCCCGGTTGGCGGGGGCATGGCCTCATTTCCCAAACCCCGCCCCCAACCTACCCAAAACCTACCCCAAACCCCACCCCCAACCCCCCAACCTACCCCAAAACCTACCCCAAAACCCACCCCAACCCACCGCACCCCCTGGGACCGATCGATGGGAGGCCTTTCAGCTGCACGTAGACATATTGCCCTTCCGCGCGATCGCAGGAGATCTCCTCCCAGTCCTTGCTGGGGCCGCTGATGGTGCCTCAGCTTCGGCGTTAAGAAAATATTCGAGGGGTACAGCCCCATGTCAGGCAAACGCCAGGGCTGCATACTTTTGGAACACCCAAATCACAGGTGACCTCTTTTTCTCAGGGACATCCATGTTTCTAGGATTCCCCATTCTCTCCAGGCATCCTTCTTTTTAAAAACCCACCCAAAACCCTGGAGAAACAGCTGGTTTTCGAAAAGAACGATGGTTGAAAAGACTGGAATCGGAATCAAGCTGCCGCCAAAACCGCCGCATGAGAGCCCGACGGAAGCTGCCATGGTCCGTTCTTTCCAGGGATCCTTCTTTTGGAAATCCTCACTTGTTCAAAGAACCTGCAAATAAAAGGTTAACCTTTTGGGACCTCCCCTAAAAATAGACCAAACAGGGAAAACCAAAAGGTCAAAAGGTCGATTCGCTTTGGACAACTGAGAATCAGAAGCCAAGGGGAATCCCAGGGTTGGGAAAAGAAGGAGGGTTGAAAAGAATGGAAGAGGAATCAACCCCTAGAACTATACTCCCCCTTCGGTTGGAGCCCCGAAAAAGTGGGGGATATCCTTGTTGCTTCAAAACAACCCTTTCTCGGCTTCCCAGGTGATTTGGATTGGTGGTTTGGTGGTTCGGGGTGGTGGTTGATTTACCCTCTACAAAAACTAGGGAATCAAATGCAACTTCAAACCACCAATCCAAATCACCAGGGGGTAGCCTGATATGGTGCATCTGTTTCGGCCTTTGTGTACGGGTTTAGACTACTTCAGATAGTGAACACCCCACCAGAAGAGAAACCTGAGATCAAGAATTCTCCCTTCCGGGATCTTCATTCGAGTTTTGGGCTTGTTTTTCCCCCTAAGCGCGTTCTTTGCGAGCGTAATGAGCCTGAGGAACAACACCACCTTAGATGCGCTTCAAGACTGGTGACAAATGAGCTGTCTTGTGTGATTGAAACCTGGCATCCGACCCAAATTGACCAAGGACGACTTTTGCGAGCCAAAACATAATCCAAACCATAGGCGAAACCATAAGCC